GTGAGCAAGGTCAGATGACCAAAATGAAAATATGTTAAGATCTAATGTGCTTTGCAGGTTAGGTTCCCTGATGAACAATACAATGAGAAAAACTCAGAAGAGAAATAGGGAGAAGGAATTCGGGACATTCCCAAGAGGTAAAATCCAAATGACAATTAAATACATGAATGATGATGCTCATAACTAGGAGGAAGGGGATGCTATTTTACACCACTACATCCCTTAATTTTGCAAAATTGAGGGAGCAGAAGCAAGACATCATGGGGAACAGGCTGGAATGGAGCCAACAGCTCCAGGGAGGGGAATTGAGAGCCGGAGAGTGTGTCCAGAGATGCTCACTGCAGTCTTTACAGGTGCAGAAAGAAGGCGCTTGGGTGACTGGGATGGAGAACGGGGGACCATCCACTCCATATGAGACAGCAGGAGTGTGCCATAGCCGGGGTGGGAGATGGTCACCAGGTATCAGTAGATGAAGCCAGGCACGATTAAAGTGTCTAAGTTACCCAGAGATCATGGCACTGACACTGCCCTCCCCTGTTACAGGAGTGTAGGTCCACCTTTGAATTATCCTGGGGAAAAGGTGTAAAGATGCTGGAGCCCACCCAGGTCACTTGTGTCCCTGGACAAAGTGTGCATCTTATTGCCACACAAGTACAATCCTGGGTGGGTGTGCATGCTTCCCCAATGACCATGACCCCATGTTACTTTTTTAGTTTGAAATCCATTCATTAATGAGAACACAAAGTTGATGACATTTATTTACCTCCTTCTGGAGACAGCTCCGTCCCATGCAAAAAAGGATCAGGGATTCCGGCTTTGCTAATCCGACTGAGAGGTGGACTTTTCCATTCCTGCAAACACTGATTCACTTCCTGATATCTCAACTAATCATAAGGAAAGTCATGCTGTGCTTTGAAGGGGCCGTGATCTGTTCCTTACCTTCGGGGTCCTGCCTACGGCTGGTCTTGATGGGGGGCGCACATACCGCGTTCACACAGAGCTGCCTGCATCTCAGCCAGCGCCTTTGCCTTGGAAAGGCGGAGTCAGCCATCCACCGCCCTAGGGCTGTGTGGTCAGTGGGCAGACCCCCAGCCCTGCCACTTTCACCTGCCCTCTCTGGCAAGGGGCCATATTGTTTGCTGCTCAAATCCTATTCAATAATCTTAACAGTAAACATTTTGCATTTGGTACAGGATGGTTTTACCTAACTTCCTGGGGTTTTGCTCCAACTTCATTTAAGTTTGCTTGAAAGTAGGACCAGTAGACATTCTTGAGGAGGGTGAATTCTTGGGGCATATGTGAGGATGTCCCAGGACACAGCCTGATCCAAGATTTCATATCAGCATAGAGAGGGGTGCAGGAGAGGTAACTAGGGATCACCTGCGGTCAGACAGGAGGAGCTGCAGGCTTAGGTTGATCGGCACGTGAGGCCTGAGTGGAAATCGTTCCCTTAATGCCTTCTCATGTCCTGGGTCATATTAGAAAGGCTCACTTAAGGTGGTGGGGGGGAGGCACATTATGCAAAAGTGGTTCTTAAAAGCAGATGACTTCAGAAGGAATTATTTTCATTAGACTCCTTCAGGGGATCCCTTTAAAAACCATCCCCCTACTGAAGTTAAGAGTGTTATTTACAGATGATTAGCTCTTTGGCTAGGAAGAGGGGCAATTTAATCCTAAAACACTCAAGGCCAGTGGAAGATTGTTTGGAGGACAGAGGGGAAACCTGAAAGCAAAATTTGCTTCCGAGCCATCTTGGAAGTCAGTGGACACATAGAATCCAATGTACGAAAGTCATTTTCTTCAGGAGCACAACTGTCAGGGAACGCGCACTTTCAGGTTCAAAAAACAAAAACAAATACATCTTAAAAGACGCTGAGAAGGAAGGGAACCTCTGCTCTGGGGATGATGGATGGCTTCCTAGAGAACAATGGTCTACACCTGTCCCATCTCAAAGGCAAGACGTGGGGCTCCTCACCTCAGTGGATCCCAGGAACGTGGTAACAGTGTGTGTATGCGTGTGTGTGCACGTGTGCGTGTTTGTGTGCGTGTGTGTGTGCGTGTGTTTGTGTGTGTGTGTTCTCTTGCAAACATGGTCCTTTCCATGATGTGGGGGTTGCTGGAGGAAATGGGATGTGGAGTGGACTAGACTGGGCATTCCTGTCTGCACGTGGAGACTCAAGGGAACCTTGAGAAGACACTGGCATGCTGCCCAGATCCAAATGCCACAAAGGAGACAGGAAGCTGGGCAGGGGCTGTAGGGCTGGCAGGTGGCCTCTGTGTGTGACCAGGGCACAGCCTCCAGGGGGAGTCTCCAAGGCCCCTGCTATCCCCGGGGAGAAGCCTGGCCACGTTGCAGAAGTGGCCCCCATTCCAGAATGCCGACAGCACGGCAAGGTGCGTGGTGCCTCCAGAGGTCCTCCGGGGAGCGCACCTTGTGAGGCACTTGATGCATATTTCATTATTATTTTTTTAATGGGATAGCAGGGAATGCTCTTCAGGGTTTCCTTCAAACTGCTATAGTAGGATTTTAATGTTTTTGAAAAAATCACTAAGAATCAACAATGGTGGGGATAGATTGAAATATGATTAAACAATAGCATATTAGACCATTAACGTTTTCAGGGCTCTTTATGAAAATTAAGATGTGAAAATAATAAGAGGAAAAGGTCTAGGTGACGTGACTGAGATGTCATTTAAAAACATCTCGGAGGGATGTGGGACACACCTTGTATGGTGTCTATGATTATTATAGATCTTTACTTTAAATGTGGGTAAAATGTAGCGTCATCGATAGTTTAAATTGTCACCTTACATTTTTCATAATAAAATGGGCCCGTTAAACCAGGGGTTGGCACCGTGTTTCTGTGAGGAGCCAGCTGTTCATATTTTACGCTCTGCCAGCCCCCTATGTCTCCGTGAAATATCTTTGTTTTTACAATCCCTGGAAATCTTTAAAAAGCATTCAGGGATCTCAGGCCTTATAAAATAGGGCGCAGGCTGGTTTGGCCTATGGCATGAGTTTGCCAGTGCCTGTGTTAGATGATTTTATTTCCTTGGTTGCCTCTTGCTAGTTTATTATGGAGAATTGGTGAAATGTTTCCACGTTTAATGCGTAAAACCCTTTCCTAGGTCCACTTTGGAACTTTGCCTGTACCCAAGTCAGGACTTTTCAGAATCATTTTTTTTGGTCCACTTCTGTGAAGAAAATGGAAATATAAATCTGTCACATGATCGTGCAAAGCCATATCGCCCAGTGTGGTGACCATTCGCCCCGTGTGGCTCACAAATGGGACCTTAGTAAAAGTCAAGATTCCGTGTCTGTGGGTCCACCCCATCCTGCCCCGCACACACACAGAGATTTCATTCCAGATGGTTCCACAAGACAAGAGTGTTAGGGAAAATACTCCAGGTCTCAACCCCACTGCACCAATTCTCCTTCAGAAAATAACATTTATACAGAAAAAGGAAGAGCAGGTAAAGACATAACTACAGGAATTGGAGTCCCATAGATCTGGAAAGGTAGCAAAGGTTGAATAATTTCCCCTGGTTCAAAACCACAACTCTACATCCTACAGGCTGTGTGACCCTGGGAGAACCACTCCACCTCTCTGAGCCCTCTGCCTCCCAGGCTATAAGGCAAGTATCACCATACCTACCTGGTGCGGGGCTGGGGGCTTAAGCGAGGCCGAGTGTGTGGGTGTGTGTAGCAGCCCTGCAATCCTTCACCACGGTGAACGGCAAATGGACAGCAGTCACAGATTCAGAGACAGTGTGGCTAGGTTTTGGTTGCTTGGGGCATACAGAATCATCTTGCATTTAATGAATGCTAACGTGGCCAGTGAGGTTTGCAGAATGGCTGGGAGAAATGCCCGCCTGCCCGACCCCCTAAACATGTGCGTGGACCTGGGGTTAGCACTGTCATGCTTTTGGCTCCTGTGATGGCTCTGGGGGTGTCTCAGCCTCACATGCTGGGGGCTGAACTGTCTCGCTGTGGTTGACAGCGAGGACCCCTCTGTCTCCCCAACCCCTTCTCCATCCTCAGCAGTCGCCCACTCAACCTGCCCTGAGACCCTCCATGCTCACGTTGACCCTCACACCACTCAAGACTCACTGGGTAGCTATGGGGACCTTGCAGGACCTAGACAGAGGCTACGTCTCAGCTGTGGCTGGGAGACCCCAAGGAGTAGCAGAGCGTCTTAGCGATGGCGGTGGATAGGTGGGCTTTGATTCCTCAACCCCCTCTGGGGATGTGGGGTGGGAAGGTGGGACAGGCACCGTCCACCCCAGACCCTCAGCCCAGGGGCAGGAGTCTGGCCTTCCATCCCCTCACTGTGATCTGCCTTCCAACTTTACCTCTGCTCTCTTCCTGGAGCACATGATGGCTATATTTACACACACATGATAAAATAGACTTACTTTTTAAAAAGCTAATTTACATTGCTCTTCCCCTGCCCACCAGAGAAAGGGTGGGAACCCACATCTTCCTCGTGCTTCCTCCACCCTGGAATCAAAGAGCAATGGGAACAGCCTTGCAAACAAGACTCTAGCCACTCGCTGGCCGCTTTTCCCCCAGCAAGACCCTCAGGCTCAATTGCTGACCGAGCATCCTTTGCTGGGCTACACTGCCGGGGGGGGGGGGGGCTGGCATATTTTATTTAGGAATCTCATATTAATTTGCAAAGCTGTGATCAAAAGCAGGCAGAGAACAGGAGCGTCCCCCTCCCATGACCTTCCCCCAGCCCAGTGACCACCTCCTTCCTGTCCATGGTCTAACAAAGAATGGCCGACGCTGGGGTGGGTGGATTCGGCTGTGGATGGGGATGAGCAGAGGGGTTCAGAGGCTAAGGCGGCAGGAACGGGGACATGCTGAGGAGCGTCGACCTCAACTCCTCGAGAGCCACAGAGGGTGGGGGCACAGATGGGGGGGACGCACATGGCAGGAAGGTGACGGGACTGGGATCTACGTGACAAAACAGGGAGAGCCACGACAGGGGGCTTACTTGCGGAAGTATATACAAGTGAACTGGGGGCACTGTACATGGAGGGTCCCTCCTGGTTTGTCTGACACAGCAGCACCGTGCCTACGAGAGACAGAGAGAGAGAGAGAGAGAGGGTGTCGGGTTGGAACAGGCACGCTGCACCCCAGAGCCCACGCAGCGCGAACCAGGGAGGCAGAGAAGAGAGCACACAGCCACATCCCAGCCCGCGTGATAGCGAGACCCAAGGAAGCCCCCTGCCTGGGCCAAAAGGGATCGGGAAGCCCACCCCCCAGCCCCCCAAGCGCATGCCATGGGGTGTGACCAGTGGGGTCTGGCTGACCTGGAACCCAGCAGTAGATCAGGAAGGGAAGGAATACACCAGATTCAAAAGGGAACTTCAAAAATATCAGGGAGAAACAGATAGGAAGCCTGACTCAAACACCCCTGTGCTGTGTGATCTTGGTGAGCCACTGTACCTCTCTGTGCCTCAGCATTATCATCTGGAAAACAGGGGTCAATATACCTACCTCCAAGAGGTGCGACCTGGGCAGGAGCTGGCACTTAGGAATCACTCAAGAAATGGTTAAGTGTGTGGGGTGATATGTTTAGAGAAAAATTTTCCTCCTCCCAAACTTGAACCTTTCTGAATCGGCCCCTCAGAAGAAGAAGTAAGGCAGGGAAGAATGAGGGTGACCTCCGCCATCCCCATGACCCCCCTGAGACACCAGACAACAGGCCTTAGGTGCCCCCTCTCTGGTTTCCTCCTGGAGCCCCACCTTCCGGCTGCTTCGCCAGCCTGCAAGGCCAGACACTCTGCAGCGAGCGCTGGCCTCCGTCTGATGGAAAGCCAAGGCCCCCGGCGGATCCTGGCAAAGTGGAATTTTTCAGCCGGGCCAGACAGTGGAGCCCTGAGATCCTCCCCACTCTGCACCCGGTTCTGAGCTGCCGCCCACCCCGGGGTGACTGGGTCAGGAGTCTTTAGGGGACCAATTCTCCTCTCCTGCTGCCATCAAGTTCAAGCTCAAAGACTTGGAAGAGGAGGGACTCAGGAGGAGTTCTCAAGCCCGTTATGGATGGTGGGAGCCCTCCTGCGGCTTCTGTTCATGTCCCTGGCTGGGCAAGGTCAACCATTCCTGTCCACAGTCCCCCGCGTCTCCACAAGCAGAAGGCAATTTCCTGCAACAGGAAGGCTCTCTTTCAAGTGCACCCCAGGAGCAGAGAACTGGCCCCTCTCCCGGGGAAGTCTCCCTAGAGATTGTTTCTACCATCTTGGCCTGTCTCCCCCAAGATGTACAAAAGTGCCACTGAAACTTCCAGCATCACTGGGGTTCCACCAATAGACACACAAAGAGACATGAAGCCAGACCCTGTTCTCATTGATCTCTCCTGACCTGCATGCCACCCTCCTGCAGGGGCCAAGTCAAAGATGCGGAACACAGGAAGACCCCTGGGACGGGGGTCCCCAAATCCACCTCCACCTCTGCTCCCTGTGCTTCTCTGGTGTGTGTACACTATTTTCGGGCAAAACAGAGATTGTGCTAAAATTCTAGACTCATGTCGCCCTGCCCCCGTCACCAAGCCTAACAAGCCCATCTGGTCTTTCCCACCTTCACTGGGGAGGTCCCTGGTCCTTCTCACCTTCACTCACCCATCCTTATGGCTGGGAAAGAGCCATGCCCCAGTGCAGCCCAGACGTGAGGGGCAATGAGCTGCTCACCTCCTGGTGGTGACTGCACTCTGACCGCAGGGCCCTTGGGTGGTGATCACCTTTGCTCATCTGATGGTTCTGTGTCCACTACTTCCTTCCAAAGTGACACCTGCCAGTCTCAGAGGTGTCACATGGTCTAATTTCTCCTTAGGTATTTTCAGCTTTTGCAGGTAACTGGCATAGGAATGGGGATCAAGAGCCAAAAGACGGCACCCCCAGAGGTTGAGGGCTGGGGTGTGAGGTCACCTGACGGAGCCGGTTCCCGCCCGCCAGGAGGGCTCTCGGCAACCCCAGGACAAGCGCTCTTGACCAGTAGCACTCACACATGACTCTGCAGAGGTCATGGTGTGGTTCTGCCCACTGCTAGAGATCTTAGGGAGAAGGTGACGCTCCTGGAGGTGCACAGGGAGCTACCCAACCAGCATCTGCTAGGGCGCCACACTGGCAGGTGGGTTTGGAGCACGCGCCAGGGTTTTCTCCTCCTGCAAGTCCCTGGTGAAAAACCACTTTTAAAACGAGATCTCAAGTTTCCTGGGTGCCTCGATTTCAAAAGAAAAACCATCTAATTATAACAAAAATACATCCAGAAGGGCATTTCAGTATTGTGCAATTAGAATGCCTGGGTCAATTTTCAATATCCTCGATGCAGTTTACAGAATCCCTCTGGGACACAACACAGATTCTGTCTAAAGAGCTAAACCCTGGCAGCATAATGAAGCTTTGCCTAATTCTTCTTATGCTGTGGATCCCGAGAAATTGGTCTGAAAGAAGTTCTTTGAAAGCTCTCTTAGTAGTAAAAAAAACAAAAAAACTTTATGCAATGATTTTGACCTTTGTCAAACAAAATCCACGCACCACAAGACTTGGTTTTTATTTTACCTAAAAACATCCTTCAATTTAATTTGCAAAGTGCTTATAGTATGTTCTCTTAGTGCTCTGTGACCTTTTCTTAAGAGAGAACTTTGCATTCAACAAAACAAAGCAGGAAAAAAAAAAACACTGTAAACTGCATTTATTTGGGGGGCCACAGGGAAGACCGCTGTTTAATTTGTTTAAAAAAGCAAGTCAAATAGTCAATAGCTCCAAGCAACAGCAGAGTTTATAAGGTCATTCAAAGCACTTCCCAACATAGCAGCCAGAGAGCTTTCCCACGAGACTCCTGAAGTGCATCTATCTGTCCCCAAACCCCATTTGGGACCATTTACTTCCAGTTACCATGAGCCTGTGTCTAGGACCGTGATGCTATTCTGTGCTTTGTAGATGTTCTTGTTTATCAAGCTCCTTAAAATTGAACAATGGCAACAAGTTCAAACTGGACCACTGTCTACCCGTTCCTAAGCCAGACAGACAGCATTGATATCATCCTTTCCCATTGGCCCAGAATCCTCAGAATCCTTCTCAACACTGCAACCAGACAATTACCACCATTTGACTTGAGCCGGGAGAGAAGGGGAAGTGTCCATCCACTTCCACTCTTGGGTTTAGCCAGAGGAAATTCACCTTTTTATGTCAAACAGAGTTGAATGTTGCTCATTTCATAATTCTTCGACTCAAAAAATTAAAAAAAGAAAAAGAAAAGGTTTCCTGTCTCTGTTCTGCATGGTTTAAAAGTGATCTCCCATCCCACTACCTGGGAGAGAATTAATTGTCCCCTCGTCTGTGTTCTTTTGAATCTCCCTGGTAGGTCCTTCGTCAGGCTGGATTACAATTTTCTATTTCCATGTAGGTCTTCCCTAGAGAATTTCCTGGGGCACAGTCAAATCTTCTCATCTTTTATCCCCAGCACCTAGAAAAGTATCTACCTGTCAGAAGGATTAATACGTGTAGCTGAATTATAATGCATTTTAAAGGAACCCTCTATCTTTATTTTCTTTGCTAAAAATAGTGCTTTTTTCTAAGCTCTTCTTCTTATGGGTGCCTATTTAGAGCTGTGAATTTGCATGTTTAAGTTCAAATGCATTTACAAGCTGTGTCTAAGACATTCCCTTATTTCCCCCTTCTTTCCTGGTTCTTTTAAGGGTGTCTCACCCAGTTAAACAGGAGACCAGGGAAGCTGGTGATCCACAGCCCGGGCTGCGAGTGCCTATCTAAGTGGCTGGCAGCGGGATGGAACTCAATGTGGGAATAACCGGAGCCTGCTCCCAAGCCTGCCATGGTCACCCAGACAGCTGGGGTCCCACTTTGCTGGTGTTCTCAGTCTAGCCAAAGAGCTGAGGCTGGAAAGCCCCAGGCCACTGGCCGAGTGAATATAGGCCCTCTGCCCCTGGAGCTCAGCAGGAAAAAGACAGGGTTCAAGGATGTTGGCAGGTGTTTACCTGAGTGGACTACACACAGGCACTGTGCGGGCTCTGGGGCACCTCTGCAGGGCTATGCACTTTCCAGAAAAAAACAAAACAAAACAAAAAAGCATGCTTTCCCTTTAGCATTCAAATGCCCAGAAATCAAGATGAACACGCGGAAACAAAGGAATGATTCTGAAAACCAACCTGGGCCTTCCTCTGCATTATGCACTGAGATAAATAAATTAACAACTACTTTAGAACCATTTTTATGATATCTAACTATGATGACTTTGGTCAACTATGTATTCTCTATTTCTCCTCCAGGTTGCTCTCACAATGAAAAACATTTAGCAGTGACCGTCACCGAGGCTGGAAATGACGTGTGGATTCTCCATAGAAAAGTACTGCAGGTTCAACATTTGCCAAAGGATATTTGCACTGCGTCTGTCCCTCCCTAACAGGAAGGGGCAGGCAGCATGAGTCCTTCTTTATAGGTAGGAAAGAAAAACAAAACAGAACCAGGCAAGGATGATTTTTCTTTTACCAAAAGCCTTGTTGTCATTCAGGCAAATGCTAAGTGAACAGCAAGCATTGGGTTCCTAAGCCATGACTCATTCTATCAATGGCTCCTTCCTGCTCCCAATATCCTAGAGTGATTTTTTTTTTTTTAAAAGCTTGTTTCCTTTTAGGAAAAAAAAAAATAGAATGGAATTAGGGGAATGGTCCTACCTGGAGGAATAAGCTATGGACACTGGGCTGAACAGGAACCTACAAACCTACAAACTTTTTTTCTTTTTCTTTTTTTTAAGCAGGGCAGTACTTTGGGAAGGGGGTGGCAACCCCCATGGGTCTTGTCCTCATAGGCCTCATCAAAGCCCCAGAGGTGGTCACACCCAGATGCTGCCCCCGCCCCCCAGTGTCTCTGAGTCGGCAGGTGTGGGCTGGAGCCTGAAAACTTCTCAGGAGATCCCTCCTCAAGGACGGACCGCAGTTTGGGAAATGCCGGAGAAAAGTCAGCGCCCGATCTCCAAGCCATGCGTTCTTTCTCTCCTGATGGCAGGAGAGCTGAAGATCCCCTGCAGAGAGGCTCAGGGGTAGCTGTCCAGGCCCAC